TCACACACAGAGCAATGGCTCGTGGAGGGGGGGTTGGGGCGCCTCCCTCTATACCCACAGAGCAGGGCCAATTCAGGGGGTTGGGGCGCCGCCACTGTCACACTCGGGGCAGGGCTGATGGAGAGGTTATGGCTCTACCCTGTCACACACAGAGCAGGGCCCGTGTGGGGGCAGGGGTTGGTACGCTGCACCCAGTCAAACACAGAGCCACAGAGCAATCAGGGGATTGGAGAGCTCCCCCCTATCAGGCACAGAGCAGGGCTGATCAGGGGGTTTGGGCGCTGCCCCCTGTCACGCTGATCCCGGTGTTGGGAGGCATATTACCCTTTTACTATATAGAATAAAGGCCTGGTGCTTGGGTAGGGGCTGGCTGGTTTGCCCTGAAGGGTGTCCTGGATCAGGGTGGGGGTCCCCACTGGGGTGCCTGGCCTGTCTGGGTGAGGGGCTGAGGGCTGTTTTCTGGGTGGCGAGTGACTGAAGCTCCCAACCGCTCCTTGTTTTCTTTCTTTTTTTTTTTTATTCTGGGCCAGCTTTAGCTCTGAGGCCTCACTGCTGAAAACATTGATACAATGTTGCGGTCTGGCTTTCTGGGGTTTTGTTTAGCTTCTTATTTGCAACATAGTACATAGTTGCTTAGAGTTGCAGCTGAGAGGCTGGCAAGTTAGGCGGGGAACGTTGGAGTCCGCAGTCACTGAAGCAAGCAAGCCTCCCTGCTCGCTTCAGTGCATGGCTGCTGGCCGCCATCTTGGCTGACAGTTAATTTGCATAAGGATATGCTGATTAGCCAATGGGAAGGGTAGCGGTCATACGCTAATTACCATGTTTCTCTTTTATTAGTGTAGATATTTCAATGCCATTTAACAAAGAAAAATCAACCAAAAAAATGAGTTCGCGTGTCACCTCTGACATGCGTGTCATAGGTTCGCCATCACTGGTCTATAAACTTGTATGTAGCTTCCTACCTGCCATGCGCTTTTCTGGGGAAAAGATGCTAAAAGATGACCCAGAGAGAGTCACTGTATTTAGGGTCTCCCAGTCTGGAAGGCACACTGACATATAAACATGCAATGTTTGTTTAATAAGGAAAAAAATCACTAACAGAGCCATGCCAAGTGCTATGGTGACCCACAACTGTGCTGGGGTATCCCACTGGTTTAACAAAGCAGCTCATCCTATTTAGGTTTGATATTGAAGTACAAATAGGAGTTTATTTGGTAGAGACGATGAAAGAGAGGAATCAGGGTTTTAAAAGTCTTTACTGCATAGACGGACTCCTAAAACCGATGAAAAAACAGCAATGAAATAAACTCAGGGTCACACAACTAGGAAGCAGCAAAGCCAGGCCTGGAGGCCATAAAACCTAAGACTCTGAGGCCATTGCTCTCTCTCCCACCCTTCCAAGCTGCCCTCATAGCACAGGGAGAGATGCATGGGAAGGAGTGAACATGGGTACGTGCTGAAAGGCAAGAGCAACGGCCCCCAGTACAGCATCCATTCCCCATCTGGAGAGACAGTGACCAGCCCGTACCTGGAAGTTCTCTTTGATTCTCTTCTCACTGAAGCTCTTGGCCAGGACCACTACCCCTCGCTGCACTTGGTAACGCAGGGCCACCTGCCCTGGACTTCTGTTGTGCTTCTTGGCAATGGCCTTCAAGACCGGCTCCTCCAAGAGAGTGGGGCTGTCCTTTTCCACCCTGAAAACAAAACCAGAGCATGTAGATGTGAAGGGTATAGTACCAGAAATATAAAGTGTGCTGTCCCTTTCCCCCCAAATTCCCAAAATAATCAAGAGAAATGTGTGTAGAACAGCACATCCATTTGTCAATATCATATCACCAATATTTATGCATGACAAGCTGTGTAAATTATATTACAAAATAACTTTTAAAATAATATTTGGAGTATGCATGAAACAACAATGAAAGAATGGTGATGACTGTGGAAGTTCAGTGACGGTACATGGGACCTCACTACACTATTGTGTTGGCTTTTTAATGTTTGAAGTCTTCCATAATAAAATGTTAAAGCTTAATTTAATTATATATATATATATATATATATATATATATATATACACACACACACACACACACACACACACACACACACACGTACTTAGAGGTCCAGTGCACGGATTCGTGCACTGGTGGGGTCTCTCACACTGGTGCACGATCAGGGGCCTGGGAGAGACTATGGGAGAGCTCCAGGACATGTCCTGCCTATCTCACCCAGTCTCAATTGGCTGGACCCCAGCAGCAAACTAACCTACCAGTCAGAGTGTCTGCCCCCTGGTGGTCAGTGTTCATCATAGCTAATGGTCAGTTGAACCAGCCACTTAAGCTTTTATATATATAGATGTGTGTGTGTGTGTGTGTGTGTGTGTAATTATTGCTGATAATATTACAGATGTTTCCCATATCCACCCCCCCCCCTTTACCAGCCTCCTCCCAGCCCTTACCTAGGCCCCAAAGAAAGCTTAATTTTAAAAAGTGTTTCATCAGTAATAGAGTTGCTGACAGAGGTTAACTCTGATATTTTTATTACCAGTTTGGGTCTTTTTGGGACCCCAGGGCACTGTAGGCAACAAGAACAATGTCCTTGGACTTGCAGAATTCCAAGAGTTTGCTCTGGTTGAGATACGGGTGACATTCCACCTGTGAATTGCCAAGACCAGAAGGTATCAGAATACATGAACCAATATCATGTAAATTTGAAAAGCCTTTGAATGAATATCTAATATATGTACCATATTTTCCAGATTGGTCATTTTCTCATGCATCTTCTGAAATACCTTCAAATGCTATTAGTTTTAGATGTGATAAAACAATTTTCTTATTTTTTATTAGTGCTTGAAATGATTAAAGAATGTTATACCTGGTCTGTGACCTCCACATGTAATTTCCTATAGAAAGAAACTAAGATTCCTTAGAAAAATGGCTGATTCCAATACTGGGCAGAAAAGCTACAAACTGAGCCTAGAACATGCTGAGCCAGTTCCAGCATGTCCACAGGGCTGAATCATTTGGAGATGGCTGAGGGCATTTCCCCAAACCTGAAAAAGATGCATAAATGATTGCTTGCTGCCAGACAGCTGAGGGCATTTCAATCTACATGTTATTACCTCCTACTGGCCAAACACCTGAACAGCCTTGGGCAGTTCCTCCAATCTGACAATGCTTACCCTTTGATATCTACCTTGCTATAGGACAATTTGTGTTAATAAAAAGCAAGGGGTCCAGAGAGACAGGAGAACTTGGTTCCTTTAGCCAAGCTCTTCTGGCCCCCCAAAATGCCTTCCAAAATTATGTTTCATCTCTGGGCTCTTGATTAATTTACACACAGCGCCTTCTCCAGATTCCTGAACCCTCTAGATAAGCGGTTCTCAACCTGTGGGTCGCGACCCCTTTGGCGGTCGAACGACCCTTTCACAGGGGTCGCCTAAGACCATCCTACATATCAGATATTTACATTATGATTCATAACATAGCAACATTACAGTTATGAAGTAGCAACGAAAATGATTTTATAGTTGGGTCACAACATGAGGAACTGTATTTAAAGGGCCAGAAGGTTGAGAACCACTGCTCTAGATGCTGGATTAAGACCACCGGCATTACTTTATTTTTGCTAACATTTGCTTATCCCAACTCGTTCTTTGGTAATTTTTAAAAAAAGCATTAGAGAATCTTTTTGCAGGAGAGCTGACAGCTCTGCCCTCTCCAGTCACCTTTGAAATCAGAAGCAGAGGATCCGGCAGCTTTTTAGAAATTACAGATTTTTGATCCTCAAAACAAATTAGGTATTTTATGATTTGAACAAGAAACCACATTTTTAAATATGATAATGGCACATATAGCTCTTCTGCAAAAAGATTCTCTAATGCTTTGTTTAAAAATTACCGAAGAATGCATTGGGATAAGCAAATGTTAGCAAAAATAAATTAATGCCGGTGGTCTTAATCCAGCATCTAGAAGGGTTCAGGAATCTGGAGAAGGCGCTGTGTATAAATTAATCAAGAGTCCAGAGATGAAACATAATTTTTGAAGGTATTTTGGGGGGCCAGAGGAGCTTGGCTAAAGGAACCAACTTCTCCTGTCTCTCTGGACTCCTTGCTTTTTATTAACACAAATTGTCCTATAGCAAGGTAGATATACATATCAAAGGGTAAGCATTGTCAGATTGGAGGAACTGCCCAAGGCTGTTCAGGTGTTTGGCCAGTAGGAGGCAATGACATGTAGATTGAAATGCCCTCAACTGTCTGGCAGCAAGCAATCATCTATGCATCCTTTTCAGGTTTGGGAAAATGCCCTCAGCCATCTCCAGATGATTCAGCCCTGCTGACATGCTGGAAAACAAAGAGGACAGGAAGACACTAAGTGTTGTCAGAGGCATCTTCTGATTAAAATGATGCCAATTCTATCATTGATAGGAAAGTAATTATATTTGTTGAAATTCATGAATTCACAATTACATATTGAAGCGAGAGACATATTTTATACATGATGAATCATTTTCTACAAATATATTCCTAGAAGTAATTAAGTAAAATGAAGAATATAAATATTTGACTGGTTTCTTGCATGATTTTCAAACTGTTTCAAAAAAGGGATATACAACTTTATAATAACAGTGATTGAACATTGGCAGCATTGTTATTTTTTAAAATTATTTCTTTCAATGTGTTATCTACTTCCTCACTTTCCACTGCTTTGCTCTCTCTCTGGCTTTTCCCCTTACCACTCTGTAACTGCTCCTGCTATGTTTCCCATGAACTCTGTCTCATAAAACCCCATACTTTTTCTATTCCTAGTTGGATTGGCTGCTCCCAGCAGGATCTACCTCATGGCTCATGCAAACCTTTTCAGTGGTCTTCCTTGGTTTCCCTGATAACACATGGTATCATATTTCTTCCTCCCTGTCTGCCAACTCCTGCTCAATCCCCTCACCAGTGCCTCTTTGCCTAATCTTTAAATATTGACTTTCCTGCCCTTTTTCTGTTCATCCTTTGAAGTTCCTTGGGAGAGAGAATACATTTCTCTGAGTTTAATTGCCACCCATAAAGCAATGGTTCCAAAATATGGACCTCTCCTCTAGCCCTGCCTGAGCTCCAGACCAACACTACCACCTACCAACTCAGCATCTCTACTTGGATGTCTCCTGGGAACCTCCAACCCACCTCTGAGTAACTGAAGTCATGATCTCCCCAATCCACTTAACCTGTTCCTTTTCTGAAATTCCCTATTGTTATAAAAAGAACAATTATCTGTGGAGTTGGCATCAAGCCAAAAACTTGGGGAAACTTAATCAAGAAAGAAGGTGTGGTCCAGCCAGGGTGGCTCACTGATTGTGTGTCAACCTATGAACCAGGAGGTCAGGGTTCAATTCCAAGTCAGGGAACTTGCCTAGGTTGCAGTCTTAATCCCCAGTAGGGGGCGTGCATGAGGCAGCCAATCAATGATTCTCAACTTTGGTGTTTCTATCTTTCTCTCCCTCTCCTTTCCTCTCTGGAATCAATGAAAATACACAAATTTTTTAAAATAAGAAAGAGGATGTGAAGAGCAGAAAGCAAAACAGTTGACATAGTCATGCACTCACCTGGTTGCAGACAGGCTTGTACTTGAGCCCTGGCTTGTTCAGGATCATCTCCAGCTGTTTGTGATTGAAATTGGACACCCCAATGGACTTGGTTAAACCTGCATCCTTACACTTCTCCAGAGCCTAGGGAGGAAAGTCATGTGTGGCAAACCTGTAGTGTAGTTCAGTCCTTTCATTTGACAGTGAACTTTTTAAAGACTGGAAATCTGTCTTAACATGTATAATAATGTGGCTGAACCAAATAGCTTTATCACTTGGACATATTTTTCCCCCAGTATACTTTATTGCTATGTACACACAGCTTACAACAGCTTTCCCCTCTCTGGTGTGTTTATCTGTCCTGGGATAGGGCTCTAGCTCCTCTGGAGTTTGACATGTCCCTTTTACAGCTCACATGCTCAACCCGATCAGTGTGGCAAAGAAACTTTTACTTAGGACCACAGAAGTTTACATAAAAAAAGACCTTAGTGCCCAGCAGGCATGGCTCAGTGGTTGAGCATCGACCTATGAACCAGGAGGTCACCAGTTCAATTCCTGGTAAGGGCACATGCCCGGGCTGCCAACTTAATCCCCAGTGTGGGGTGTGCAGGAGGCAGTCAATCAATGATTCTCTGATCATTGATGTTTCTATGTCTCTCTCCCTCTCCTTTCCCCTATAAAAATCAATAAAAACATTTTTTAAAGAAAATAGACCTTAGCTGTGATCCCATTCAACTCACTTGCTTTACAGAGGAGAACACCAAACTACAGAGGAGTTTGGCGACATGTCTGAGGACAGACAACGGATGGAGCCAGAACCCATTTCTTCTGATCCCCATGCACTGATGTCCACCTTATCCCACCATTTTTGGGTTGCAGTAGCAGTACATACCTCCCAGGTGTCACGCAGGTCCACTGTCTCTAAAATAATTTTCCCATTGGCATCTTTAGGCATAAGCTCCTCTCCAGGCTGGAATACAGAGAGGGGAGGAGAAAGAATTTTTTAAAGAATGATCTTTCTCATGCCTAAGTAGCTTGGTAACACAGCCTTCAAGAGGCTATTATTACTAAGCAGTGTGTGTGTGTGTGTGTGTGTGTGTGTGTGTGTGTGTGATGTAAAGAAGACATTGGTGGAAAGGAAGATCAGAATTAGTTGAGAGACTGTAGCAAAGCAACTCTCTCCCATTTACCTCCACTTTCCTGTCCACACACTCTCCCAAAATTCCACTAAGAATGAGTTCCCCTACCATTAGAATTGATTTTGTTTCCCAAGGACAGGCTTGTTTGGATGATGGGATTTCCCTTTACTATTAAGAATGTGTTTTAGTTCCAATTTATGTTAACCCAACTCAGAGATAGTGAGAATACCAGATGTGCTCAGCAAATGTCCACTGTGATGAAAGGCTGGACCAGTGATGCTCAAAGGAGCCCCATGTGCAATATGGACCACCCTACAGTGCCTCCCTCTTGACTGGCTGAGAGGTCCATGCACAAAACCCTCCCCCTAAAGAGGTGTGGACATTCATTGTGTCTCTACTATCTTTGTAACTCAGCTTTCTTGAGACTCTCTTCAATAAGGGGGAGCACATCACTTGGACATGGAGGGCAGTGTCTTCAACTCTTTGATGTGGGATACTCTTGGGCATAACAAGGAAAACAAAAGCTAACCTTCATAGCTACTGGCACATGAATGATGAATAGATCTACATAGTCCAGTTGAAGTTTCTTCAGTGATCTCTCCAGGGCAGGTTGAACCAATTCTGGTCGAAAGAAAGTACACCAAAGCTGCAATAACCAAAAAGAAAATTTTTTTTTAAAATGGTTTGTGATGTCACACATTTGGGAACTGAAATTAAATTTCATGGTTAGGAGATCGAGCAGTGAGTAACCAACCACTATGGTGGTCTCAAAATAGAAAGTTCTGGGGCTAAATTTATGTTACTTACTGTAAATGAGGCTTTTAATGGAATACTGAGATTTATTTGAGTGACTGTAAGAAAATTGTCAATAAAATGCAGATGGGCCAGGAAAAGCAACCTAAATGTTTCAAGGATTAGCAAACTCATTTCTGAAAGGAGAGTCAGAAATGTCAGGCAAGGGGAAATGGAATCTATTGCCCTACATAGGAAATGCCTGGAAGCAGGACTGCTCAGAGGTCCATATTCGGAAAACAAATCACCATTGATGTGGACACACATAGGACCATTCTCTAGAGACCTCAGCTTTTTGTGTTGGAAGCAGGCTTTTCCACCTAAGAAAAGTTTTACAAATTTCAGTAAATTTGATGCTGACTTGAAAACAGTCTTTCCTACTCTGGCTCCCCTCTGGGGATAATATGTCAACCTCACTTGGATATGTGCTGAGAGAATTTGCTGAAGAATGAAAGGAGTGAGAGAAACCAAGATGGCGGCATAGGTAAACACCAGAAATTGCTGCCTCGCACAACCACTTCAAAAATACAACTAAAAGACAAAATGGACATCATCCAGAACCACAAGAAGGCTGGCTGAGTGGAAATTCTACAACTAGAAGGAAAGAGAAAAGCACACTGAGACTCAGAGGAGGTGCGGAAGTAAAGTGCAGAGGTACGGAGGCCCACGTGGAAAGGGTTGGCAACTGAGGACGAGGTTGTCTTTTTCAAATGGGAGGGAGTCTCAAGCTCCTGACTGCTCTGAACAGAGCAGTCTTTGGGCAAGTCTCTGGGGACCCAGACTCATACAGGGAGAAACCGGACTGTGTGGCATCGGGCCGAACTTGAGGGCAGCTTTCTCTCAGAGGTGCTTGCAGCAATTACCGGGACACTGAGATGAGGGGCCCTTTAGGGTAGGACTGAGGACCAGCCATAGCTTCTTGCTCCACCCTGTTGATCCCCTGAGACCCTGCTCCACCCAAGCTGTGCACAGAGGCTTTTGCATATGAAAGGCCTGGCCCTTTGGAATCTGAAAATTACCTAACAAACTGCAACTGGGTCAGAGAGACCCAGAACTTCCAAAAGAAGGCCCAAGGCCCTACAGCAGCTTGCATTGCTTCACAGATGGACCTCATTTGGGCACCTCCAAACCCCAAACAAGGAAGAGGAATCTGCAGATCTCTCCATAGCTCCTGCTGGGTAGCATCAGGAAGAGGCTAAATTAGCACCTCCTTAGAGATCCATGAGCCAGTGTACCCAGTGGTCAGAGTGGGACCATCCAGATTACAACTCCTCAGATCCATAAGGGACACACTCAGGGGGCAGACTCAGTGAGCACCAAAGCCCCACTGAAGCAAGTCTTGCCCCAGAAGGGTGTCTCCAGCATAGAAGTTTTTCCACTGCAGACACAGCTGATTCTCACAGTCAATTGGTCTGGAGGTCAATTCTTCCCAGTGATACCTACAACAATTAAGGCTTAACTACAACAAGACTGTGCACAAAGGCCACAAAAGGGTGCACCAAGAGTGTTCACCTCAGGTAATTGGGGAGGCTGAGCCACTGGGCCCCATAGGACACCTACCACAGAAAGCCACTCTACCAACACAGGGAAGCATTAAAAATGCGGAGACAAAGAAACAGGTCACAAATGACAGAAATGGAGGAAAGAAAACTACTGAATATAGAGTTCAAAACCACACTTATAAGGTTTTTCAAGAATTTTCTAGAAACCGCCAATAAATTTAGTGAGACCCTCAAGAAATCTAGTGAGACCCTGGAGGATATGAAAAAAGACCAACTAGAAATTAAGCATACACTGACTGAAATAAAGAATATTATACAGAGTTCCAACAGCAGACTAGAGGATCACAAGAATCAAGTCAAAGATTTGAAATACGAAGAAGCAAAAAACACCCAACTGGAAAAACAAAAAGAAAAAAGAATCCCAAAATATGAAGATAGTGTAAGGACCCTCTGGGACAACTTCAAGCATACCAACATCTGAATTATGGGGGTGCCAGAAGAAGAGAGAGAGCAAGATATTGAAAACCTATTTGAAGAAATAATGACAGAAAACTTCCCCTACCTGGTGAAAGAAATAGACTTAAAAGTCCAGGAAGTGCAGAGAACCCCAAACAAAAGGAATCCAAAGAGGACCACACCAAGACACATCATAATTAAAATGCCAAGAGCAAAAGACAAACAGAGAATCTTAAAAGCAGCAAGAGAAAAACAGCCAGTTACCTACAAGGGACTACCCATACGACTGTCAGCTGATTTCTCAACAGAAACTTTGCAGGCCAGAAGGGAGTGGCAAGAAATATTCAAAGTGATGAATAGCAAGAACCTACAACCAAGATTACTTTATCCAGCAAAGCTATCATTCAGAATTGAAGGTCAGATAAAGAGCTTCACAGATAAGGAAAAGCTAAAGGAGTTCATCACCACCAAACCAGTATTATATGAAATGCTGAAAGGTATCCTTTAAGAAGAGGAAAAAGAAGAAAAAGGTGCCCTAACTGGTTTGGCTCAGTGGATAGAGCATCGGCCTACGGACTCAAGGGTCCCAGGTTCGATTCCAGCCAAGGGCATGTACCTTGGTTGCAGGCACATGCCCAGTGGGGGGTGTGCAGGAGGCAGCTGATCGATGTTTCTAACTATCCCTCTCCCTTCCTCTCTGTAAGAAATCAATAAAATATTTTAAAAAAAAAGAAGAAGAAGAAAAAGGTAAAGATACAAATTATGAACAACAAATGCACATCTATCAACAAGTGAATCTAAAAATCAAGTGAATAAATAATCTGATGAACAGAATAAACTGGTGATTATAATAGAATCAGGGGCACAGAAAGGGAGTGGACTGACTATTCTTGGCGGGGGAAGGGGTGTGGGGGATGCGGGAAGAGACTGGACAAAAATCATGCACCTATGGATGAGGACAGTGTGTGGGGGGGGGAGGTGAGGGCGGAGGGTGGGGGGGGACTGGGTGGAGGGGAGCTATGGGGGGAAAAAAGAGGAACAACTGTAATAATCTGAACAATAAAGATCTAATTAAAAAAAAAAGAATGAAGGGAGTGGACCCACTCTGAAGTGGCTCAGTCAATCCACAAGCAGATGGAGAAGCTAAGTGTCTTTATTTGTGTTTTACATATCAATGTTGACCCTTATTCCAAGAGTCTAAGGCTTAGACTCAACCTTCCTAATGCCGCAACCCTTTAATACAGTTCCTCATGTTGTGGTGACCCCCAACCATAAAATTAATTTCATTGCTACTTCATAACTGTAATTTTGCTACTGTTATGAATCGTAATGTAAATATCTGATATGCTATATGTGTTTTCCGATGGTTGCGACGCACAGGTTGAGAACCTCTTACTAAGCAACTGGGTCACACCCTTAGTACATTCTGGAGCAAAGCAACCCTTTCTTCTCTTTTTTTCTATAATGGGACTTTACAATGTCAGGAGGTAAAGAAATTATTCAAACCAAGTTCAAAGATGTTTGTTTTGTATTTGTTTTCTCCAAATAACCTATGTGATCTGACAAGGACCTCCTGTCACTCACTCACAGCACCTTGGTGGTGTAGAATAGGTCCTCTCTCTTCACAGTGCCATCCGCAATCTTCTCTCGAAGTGCCTGGCCGACCTCCTCCTCATTTTCATAGACGTATGCTGCATCAATGTGACGGAAACCTACATCGATTGCCACTTTGGTTGCCTCAGCAGCCTTGCTCTTAGGAACCTATAAAATATGAATAAGGAGGGTTGTCAGTTGACTTGACTCAGAGAGATGCAACTTATTTCCATAGAGTATGTTCACCAGCTGTTTCTACATGTCTCCTGATCTCCTGTTTGATGGGGCAAACCTTGGCAAGAAACCTGTACACTGGGGGCACAGATTAAACTCCAATATATCCTCTAATCTGAAATGAATTAGTGTAATGGACTTCACCAGGCAATGTGGAAAATTAAGTCATTCAATAAAGAATTTGTTTCACAGGCCCCGGCACACCCTCTCATCTTCATTCCATGTTTCCCACTGGGGGAATTTATGTTGCCTGTTTGCTCAACTTTAGCATCTACCAGATTAAAGGGCCTGGTTCCCAGTAGAGGAAACCTACCAGGTGACACAAGAAAGGTTCCACCTACCCCAATGCCACGGCTGCCCCCTAGTCAGAGCTCACACGCCAGGAAATCCTGAGTTTAACAGCAGATTACTGTAGGGACAGTGGTACTTGATATTGCTTTTCAGAAGAAGATAGAGTGGCCGCTATGTGATGGTGGCAGGGAGGAGCATGTCTGGAGTTCAGACAAGTCACTAGGGCGGCTCTTGGCACTTGTATGCCTAGTAATAACCACGAATAAACAATGATAGCAAGTACTGAGAGGGTTAACATGAAACACAGGCAGATAGGCAGGGTCTAGTGGAAAACAAAGGCAGGGGAACACAGGCAGGGGCAGGCACTGCAGTTTGAACAAGCCTAATCACAGAAACCAACCATGCAGAAATAATAAACTGTTTCTGGACTCAAAGTAGGAGGCATGATAAACAAAAGATGGCCTGCAGCAACAACGTGTATGAACACATAGAAACAGAAAGGTCAGCATAGGAACAGAGAAAGAACACACAGAAACAGGGAAAGTTCAGGTCAGTTGCTGGGCAAGAACAATTGAGGGAATCAATCAGGTGACAACACGGATAGATATGGAAGCAGGCTTGTAGCAAATATATATGCCTGGACTACAAGGCTTTATGGGGCAGCTTATTATTACCACCCCCGCGCCCCCAGCCTTGCCACCCACCAGCCCCCATGAGGGGAGTCTGAATCTGTTTGAAATACATTTTGCACACTTTTGCTGAAATCTTCTGGTCTTCAGAGCTTATTCTTCAGTGTCGTGAGACCGGACCCCAGGAGAAAAACCCTTGGCTCACCATTCTGATTATCAATTTCGGGGGCTCAGTCAGAAGTTCAACTTCTGTACATCAAACCGGCATTAGATCACCAGACAGGATGAAGGAAGACTGCAGGGTTTAGGTTTACAGCAGTGTTCGAGGCCTTTCAGCACTTTCTACAGTGCTTCCCTGTGGTTACTAGGACCTTTGAATGTAAGTAGCTGATCAAAAACTCTAGTCTGGGACATCTTCAAAAGTACAGGTTTCTAGGAAAAATTTGGCCACGGTTGCAATCAAATTAACTCATTACAGCTTTGATTGCTAGATCATCTGCTTTCATCTTTGTTGCTAAAAGTCTGTAAAGTGGATTTGGAGCTGTTATAATGTCTTTTGCTTTGTTGGGAATATGGTTTGAAATAAGTATGTTTAAAATATGTTCATAAGGGTCAATCTAAGGAATGCCGGTTGTTTGCTTTTCTTGGTTATTGAGGATTGAGGCTTCTAAGAATTATTAATTGGAAATTATATTATTTAGGTAATAAAAGGCATGATGCATAGAGATGCATTTTGAAAACTAGTTATTCCTAAAATTTGTAAAAAGGTTTGTGAAAATTATAAAAGGTTTATAAGGAAAAATGTTAAATGGAAATAAAAACAAAGCCAAACAATGTGGGCAATTTGCAGCCAGTTTATAACTAACAAGCCATTATCTTCCCCAGCCAAGGACATAAAGCAAATTGTTAAAAACAACAACAAAAACCTCCCTATAGAAAGGGAGGGGCAAAGGGGAAAGAAAAAAAGAAGAAAAAAGGCCATTTTACTCCCTAGGCACAGAGGCCTTCAGTCTCAAGGCTTGGCAAGGTAAATGTGCCTCTTGTGATTTCTGAAAAGACCATAAAAAAAAACCAAACAGGAAATATTAAGAATTGATCTGTACCAGAATATTCAACAGAGCACTTTTGAGATCTACAGACAGGAGGGTGTATAATGCCTTGGACCCTCACCCAGATTGCTTTTCAGCTTGGTTGGAGGCCCATCCACTAGTATACTTCATGAGCCAGATGTACAGGTTTATTTACTATTCTTCTTCAATAAAGATGCATACTTTAATTGCTTTGATAAATTGTCTTTTCACAATATAGTCAAGGTCTCTCATATTAATTCATTTTGTGAGAAGAAAAAAATTCAGGTTTTGTGACTTTTGTTAAAGGTATTCCTAATTTGGGGCTTTGTTTTTTGGATACAAGGAAACAAAACAATTTAGTAAATTATATGTTTTTCTCCCTACCTAATCCCTCCAGAATTTGGCAACTCATAATAAATAAGTCATAGCAATGTGTTTCTTTGCATGGATTCAATAAGACCAATTTCCAATGATAGTTTTATTAACCAAGACTTTTGCTGGAGTGTCATGCCTGAGAGAGACATGCCTGGACTCTGGATGTCACCAGAAGACTTGAAGCCAATGTGAGCACCTTAGAGAACAGCCTGGTATCTTTCTTGGTCACATGATTCAATGTCAGTCTTTCCAGGTAAGGAACATGAAGGTTGCTTTCCTGAGAGTTAGCAAGAAAGGAGCCTCAAGACATTTTGGGAACCTCAAAAACTTGAGGAATTCACCCACATCTACATTGCAGGCAACTGGGTGGCTCAGCTTCTTTGCCCTGAGGGGCTCATTAAAGCTTCGTCATGAGATTCCAGCAAAAAAGATTTTAAAAGAGCCTGTACAGTTCATTACTGTTCTTAATTGTATTCATACAAACAATCAGGCCAGATTGAAACTGGACTTAATAAAATAAATGAATTCATCTTTAATAAGAATAAGGGTGATTTGGGGGAGAAAGATTATATTTCAACAGACCCTATAATGCACAATTGTGAGTTGATTCCAATTAATTGTTTCAAAATTTTATCTTATACCCATGAACTGAGCTGAATCTTAAATTGTCTGGTTTTCTTGCACATTTAGCTACAACTCTCCAGACTAATACTTACTTTTCTCCCATCCTTAGCCTTGGAATCATTGAACACTAAAACACTTTCCCTTGCACTAGACCACTTGTCATGATTCTTGTGGTTCAGTTTGTCTTCACCAGGTTACAAGCCCTACTCACACACAGGGAATGCCACCTCTAAATACCATCACCATCTCCTTCCATGCCCAGGCCTCATCGTCCCTCTGACAGAGAACAAGGATTTCTTGGCTCTGATGAAAAATGTCACCCCCTTTAATGTGGCATTTGTTTAGTCCTTTTCCAGTTTGTTAAAAGGAAAATCCTATCTTTCATATATAATCTTTTGTCAAATAAGTTTGACAACCATCCCAGGATTTGAATTTTAAGAAACTAGCTTTAGACTTGTAGGAATCAGAGGAAGTCCTAGTCCTTACCAGAATGATAGGAAAGCCTAGAAGGAAGTAACCCCTGCTCAGGAGGCATGGCATGCTTCTAATACCTACGCCTCCCCTTATGTAGAAGGGCATATAGGCCCTGGAGTTGAGGACTTTTTCTTTTGGGCAAAAAACAAACAGAACAGAGGACTGGGAAGAGGAGGGCCAAAAGATGCTGGAGGCCGGTCCATCCTTGTTGCTTGACACAGTTGCTGCAGGGAAGAAACATCTACACAGCATATGTTTCAAGGTACCTGGTGTATACGGCATACTGTTCTTAATATGTTTGCTCCCCTTTTTTAGCTCTATGTGTTATAACCAGAACCAGCTCCCTGAGAAAGGTTGTTTCCCCAGGTGGGGATTTTTCCCTGGAGTTAGGGATTGACAGGACTAAGGAAGAGAATAAATCAGTAAAACCCCCTAGTGTTACAGAAATACCATGTACTACTTATGAAGAACTTGGACTAAGACTGTGGGCAATAAATTTGGGACTTGTTGGGGCCACATCCCCAGGGTTCTGCCCACCAGAGAAAGCACCAAAGCCTATACCCCTGGAGACCCACCGACACAGGGCAGTCCCAGGGAAGGCAAGCAGCGGGGCTGGGAGGACATAACCTTTACTGGGTAGGATAATCTCCTTCAGTCACTTCCTTGTAGCTTATCAGTAGAGCAGTAGAATAGTGACCTTGGAATAGCCCTTATAATGGAACACAGAGATTAATCTAGACAAGATTGAAATCAACAGAACTAGATAGAGACAGGATTTTTGGCAAAGGTCAGATAAGAAACTATGAACTGAATGAAATAAGGAACTGTAGAAGGTTACCCAAAACATACCATGATGTGATTATCTGTGGCCTTATCCAGGCACAGGAGATCCACCTAGACCAGGGGTGGGCAAACTTTTTGACTCGAGGGCCACAATGGGTTCTTAAACTGGACCGGAGGGCCGGAACAAAAGCATGGATGAAGTGTTTGTGTGAACTAATATAAATTCAAAGTAAACATCATTACATAAAAGGGTACGGTCTTTTTTTTTTTTAGTTTTATTCATTTCAAACGGGCAGGATCCGGCCCGCGGGCCGTAGTTTGCCCACGGCTGACCTAGACCCAGCTTATTCTCTTTGTCTGTCTTTTCTACATCCTTCATCACCCTCCTCAGGCTCACCGAACCCTTGGCTGAGCTGCCCCTCCACAACTGACAGACTGGGGAGGCCAGAATGAAGAAGATAGATCTTTAGATAGCGAGGGCATACATAAGAATAAGACCAGAGTTCTTTGTATGCTCCTTGGTGCTCTGGGTGGTAGCCACCCCAGAGTTTTGGGTACTGGCCAAACTCTCCCAGCCCTTGGCCTAGAGACACTTCCTTTTAAACTCCTCTAGGAAGCTTGATGGGTATTTCAAAAACATTAGAACCATCTCAGACACTTTCAATCAGGGACACGGGTTAGTACAGGCTTCCCCACATCTGGAGTAGGATGCGTGCCTGGTAGGACACACTGGTAAGTGCACACAGTCCAGTAGGTCAGTTCTGTTAAGTGGGATTATTACCCCTAGATCTTGCCAGTAAATGCGACTAGTTTGGCAGATCCTCTTTTGTGGTCGCACACAAAGTCACACTAATCCTACATCATTTATCTAGGAGAGGTGCCCCAAACAGAGAAGGGAAGATCACTGAGGATGCTGGACATCCTTTTGTGTGTTTTCATACAGATGGGAAGCACTTTGTCCACACCCTGTGCAGATAGCCCTTGGGAAGCATTCGACGCATTGGTACACATTCAACCCTCATACCCTTAAAGAGAAATGCCTGATTTTCTTTTCTACCCGGGCTTGGCCTCAATATCATCTGGCAGATAGAGAGAGACATAGTCCCCAGAGGGAAGTGTTAACTACAATACCATCTTGTAACTAAATCTTTCCTATAAGGGGGAAGGAAGTAGTTTAAGTTCTCATATATCCAGGCTTTCTTTACTTTAAGAAATAATCAAAAATTAAGTCAGCAATACAAAATTGAACCATAGCTCTTGACAGCCTTGACCCAAAACAAAACCAGAGAATCAAAAACCCCCTAGGAAGGTGACTGGGCCTGGTGGCCCACAAAATACTCCTAAGCTATCGTGTCCTCCTAATAATATAGGACCCCTGGAAGGACAAGTCCCACCAAGACCCAAAGGCAATCCCACCAGGCCCAACAACCATCTGCCCTCTCCAGGCAATGGCAGGGGGATAGTTTTGACCCACCCTGGTGCAGGTATCATTTTCCATACAGGACTTAAAACAAATTAAATAAATTATTCTATCCCTAGGAATCTGGTTGGCCCCTCTTCTCAGCCCTTTGTTTAGCTATTTCTATTACTTATCTTTGGCCCTTGCTTATTAAACCTCCTGATACATTTTGTTTCTTCTCGCATAGAGGCTATAAAACTCCAAATGCAGCCCAAGATGGAAATGATTACCTTTTACCATAGACCTGCTCCTCCGAAGGGGCCTGACAACGGCACCTCAAAAATGCCCACTGCCAGCAGGAAGTAGCCAGAGTGGTCATCACCCTGCTCCCAACAGCCAGTTGGGGCCTCCTAATCAGAAGGGGGACTAAAAAGTTTAACTTGAAATTCAGGCAGATATGGCAGGGGTCCAGTGGAAAACAAAGGGAGGTGGAACATAGGCAGGGGCAGGCATGGCAATTTGAGCAAGCCCAGAAACCAATCAGGCAGAAATAATAAAATGTTTCTGGACTCAAAGAGGGAGGCATGGGGAAAGAAGAAAGGGCCTGCAGCAACCAGGTGTACAAATGCATAGAAACAGAGCAAGTTCAGCATAGGAACAGAGAAGAATATACAGAAACAGGGAAAGTTCAGGTCTGTTGCTTGGCAAGAACAATTGAGGGAATCAATCAGGTGATGACATGGCTAAATATGGAAGCAGGCTTGTAGCAAATATATACCCCTGGACTACCAGGCATTGCGGGCAGCCTTTTATTGTGCCCCCTCTCCATGAAGGGAGTCTGAATCTGCTTGTAATAAATTTTCCACACTTTTGCTTATATCTTCTGTTCTGTGGAGCACATTCTTCGGCATCGTGAGACACGGCCCCGGGAGAAAAACCTTTGGCTCACTGTTCCAGTTATCAGTACCACTAGGCAAGAAAGAGTGTAATAACCAGGTGATCAGACCTGTCAGTGGTTACCCAAGAAAGATTATAAAGGCCTTGGACCCAACTGGAGCAGTGAAGAGAGTCTGTGTTGTAAGTTTTGGTTTTGTTGTTGTTGTTATTGCATTTATAGATAGATATATTACTGAATGAATAATCTTATCATGATTAGCATCATGAATATTTTTAAAATATTATCCAAACTTTTTTTGTTGTTAATCCTAACCCTAACTTGAGGATATTTTTTCCATTGATTTTTCAGAGTGATTGGAAAGGAGAAAGTGATAGAGTCCAGCCCCAGCGGTCCAGGGGTTCTCAAAGGTGTGGACGGCGTCGGTGAAGAATGAACATGGAGACAGCGTTCAGATGATCAGCATAATCAGGTTCTTTTTTATTTCCCTGTTACAACTGTATTTATACTATTTGATTCTATAAGCATGCCTCTATAGTTACATCATGGTATGTTTTGGGTCCTCCTTTGACCTTTTACAGTTTCTTGTTTTATGTTTATAGTTTCTTACCTGACCTTTGCTAAAAATCTTATTTCTATTTAGCTCTGCTGATTTTAATCTTATCTATTGTCCATGTTTCTACATTTTATTCTAAAGGTTAGTCTCTGTGTTCTATTATAAGGGCTAGTTTGTTATTTCTATTCTAAGGCTACTATTCTATTGCTCCACTATTAAGCTATAAGGAAAAACCTGAAGGAGGTTTTCCTATTCTATGGCCTAAGTAAAGGTTATGTAGCTTAAGGGTGATTGTTCTTAGCTATGGTGATTAACTACCTGCCTGGAACTTAGTTTAAGTCTTTCTGCTTGCATAGCTCGAATAAGATTTTTAGATAAGGAGCCTGCCTGCATTGTTTGCAGTGGTATTTCTTTAACTGTTTCATAGTTGTCCTTTTAGCCTTACTGGTAGTATTCCTTGGGACTGCCCTGCGTCAGCGGGTTTTTAGGGGTATAGGCTTTAGTACTTCCTCTGGTTTGTAGACCCCTGGGGATGTGGGCCTAGCAAGTCCTAAATTTATTGCTAACAGTATTAGTCTAAGTTCCTCATAAGTGGTACATGGTATTTCTGTAACACTAGGGGGTTTTACTGATTTATTCCCTTCCCTAGTCCCATTAATCCCTAACTCTAGGGGAACATTCCCAGCTGGGGAAACAACCTTTCCCAGGGAGGTGGCCCTGGTTAGAACACATAGCGCTAAGAAGGGGAGCAAACATATTAAGAACAGTATGCCATATACACCAGGTCCCTTGGAACATATGCTGTGCAGATGTTTCTTCCCTGAAGCGACTGTGTCAAGCAGCAAGGATAGAACAGCTTCCAGCAGAGGGAGGGAGAGAGAGAAACAACCATGTGAGAGAGACACATGGATTGGTTGCCTCCTGCATGTGAGGGATCAAACCTGTAACCTAGGTACATGCCATTGAGCAGGAAGGAAACCCACAATGCTTTGATGTATGGGCTGATCCTCTATCCCAGTGGTTGGCAAACTGCGGCTCGTGAGCCACATGTGGCTCTTTGGCCCCTTGAGTGTGGCTCTTCCACAAAATACCACGTGCGGGCGCGCACGTACAGTGTGATTGAAACTTCGTGGCCCATGCGCAGAAGTCGGTATTTTGTGGAAGAGCCACACTAAAGGGGCCAAACAGCCGCATGTGGCTCGCGAGCCACAGTTTGGCGACCACTGCTCTAACCACTTAGCTACACTGGCCAGGGCTCAGCCCAACTTTTAAAAGAGGTCTTTAAATAAATTCCCCTTTTCCCATAGGAAAATATTAGAACTCTGCCTGAAGTCCACTCTCTCTACCCCAGGCAATTTTCTGTCCTTCTGTCTTTAGTCCTTTGTGTCTTCTGTTTCACATATGGGAGGGGCTGTGTGAGGCTGCCCCTTGGTCAGCATCAGAGCTTTTGTGAAAGGACTGCAGTAGAAGCGTGCCTCTTCTAGTTGAATGGAGCCAATCCCACTGCTCATTGGATTGTCTGTGCCTGACATCAAGCCTCCCTGAAGTTCAGCTCACCTCCTCCTTGAAGCCTCCCCAAAATACTCCAGCTCAAATCAGCCTCCCTCTTTCTGAACATCTCAGCTTCTCCTGGCATTAGTGATATAAGCATTGTTAGGTAGCTGTTCAGTCCGGCATTCAGGGTCCTTATCTAATTGTCAAAATGCCAGAAAAACAGAACTATGATCTGTGCAAACTCCCTCCACTCCTAGGATAGATTTTAATATCAAGCTGAAGTTTACTCTTGACGGTGGAATAGGTTCATTGATTTATTAATTAATAATTACATATTCTACCTGGATTCTTTTGAGAGCCACACACATGAAATAAAAAAGCTTTTGTTTCTTTCTGCCCACCAAGCCAACCACTGGTTTATTCATTCTAATGTTTATCTCAGCCTCTGAGGTGACTAAATCAACATGCTGGTTTCACATGCCAGGGTTACATGAGGCTGACCTTTGGTCAGCATCAGAAATGCTGTGAAAGGAGTGAGAGGACAAGACACCTGAGTCAAATCAGGAAAATCTATAGTAAGAGCAAGTGGGTGCAGGAGGTGCCCAGAGAGCTGGCGGCTGCCCCTCCCCTCACTACTCAGGCACTGCCTGTGGGCAAGTCAGCAGGGCATGTATAAGGCCTGCCTCAGATGGCCAATGGTCAATGCCTAATGACTAAATCTGAGACACTGAGTTTGCACGCTTCCAAAAAACACACCTGACT